TACTATATTATACTATATTATACTATATTATACTATATTATACTATACTATACTATACTATACTATACTATACTATACTATACTATACTATATTATATTATATTATATTATATATCAGATCTGTGCTTTCATTATTGACCTATCTTGGTTATTGGATACTTGGGTAGTCATGGTGGAGTCCCTGTTTTGTTTCGTTTTTTTGTTTTTTGTTTTTAGCAGATGTCACTAAAAGTGACCTTGCTTTTCCAGTGCTGGGAAGATAGCTCAGTGGTTGAGCCTGGCATGTGTGAGGCTCTGGATTCAAACCTCTCCAATCCTGTTTTTGAAACAGGGTGTCTTACAGCTTAGGCAGGCTTCAACTTTGCTACATAGCCAAGGATGGCCTTGAACTCAGGATTCTCCTGCTTCCACCTGCTACCTTCCAAGCACTGAGATCGCAGTCATGGCTTACTGTGACCGGCTGCTCAGCGACTTTGACCAGAGAGGACTCAGTTTGGGTAGCTGGAGTGATGAGTGTTGGGCTGCCCGGAAGCAGAGGATCTCCTTCCAGGCTAAGTCTCATAAGGGAAAAGGACCCTCTCCCAAGTCACCGGAGAGTGCTGACTGCTTAGTCAAATGACCACAGTGTGTATTTTAGCAATCCCTTGGATCGGTAGAACCTCATTCCTATCCCAGCTGCATGTGCCCCCCCCCCACGCCCTGCCCTGACCAGAACGCCGCTCTGCTCCACCCTCCTCCCCGCGCGCCCTCCTATTCCATCTCCTCGGTGTTCAGCTGCTGTGTCTTTTGTTTCCTGCAAAGGCAGGGAGGGTTGTGTACATCGCAGAGGGCAGTTTATCATGAGTCAAACTTTTCAGCTCTTCTTTCTCAACGTGAGCAAGTAGAAATTTCTTGGGCTCTGAAATCCCTCTGGCATTAAGCGCATGGAAGTGGCAAAGCAGGGGCGGGAAGGAGAGAGGGGGTGTTCTGAGGAGACAGGAAGGTTGCAGACAGACATTCAGTGTTCCTCTTCAATTCGTCATGGCAGCATGAGGTCTGGGAGCAGAAGGGCTGCCTGCGTTTTGCTGTGTTGTTCCTACATTGGGGAATACGTTTCTGGACAGTTAAATTGAAGGCTATGGTTGGGACTCAGATCTGTGCTCTCAGTTGTTGACCTGGCTTGGTTACTGGATGGTGGGGTGGTCGTGGTGGAATCCCTTGGGTTTTAGCAGATGCCATTAAAAATGACTTGGCTTGTCCAGGTCTGGAAAGGTAGCTGAATGGTGAGGTTCTGGGTTTAATCCTCAGCATTGCATCATCATCATCACCATCATCACCATCACCATCATCATCACCATCACCATCCAAGGACAAGAAGTGATTTTGCTCTTAATTTGATGAAGATACATCCTCTGACTTTGCTTCTTGTTTTTAATAAACAAATTAAGAAATACTTTGGAGGCGTAGGCATATGCAAGTATGCATTTGTGTGTGCCTGAGCCTGTGTGGACATTTGTGCGTGTGTGTGTGGAGGCCAGAGCTTGCTGTATCTTCTTCTGTCACTCTCTGCTTTGTTTATAATTGATTGATGTGTGTGTCTGTGTGTGCATATGGGTGTGTGGCTCTGTAGGTTTGTCGGCGCGTGGGGTCATGCCTGCCTCAGTGCACTTATTGAGGTCAGTGGATAACTTCTGGAAGTTGGTTCTCTGCTTCCACCATGACGGTCCTGGGAAATCGAATTTAGGTGTCAGGCTTGGTTGCAAACGGCCTTACCTGCTCAGCCAGCTTGCCAGCTCTCTACGTTATTATTGTTGTTGTTATTGTTGTATATTTTATCCTCATCAAGACATCAAGACAGTCTTTTGCAAACCTGGAGCCTACCAGTTAGGCAGCATCAGCTGGCCAGTGAGATCCAGCCTCTTCTTTCACACTTATTGTTTTATGTGGGTGCGGGGATCTGAATCCAGGTCCTCAAGCCAGCACCCACAAGCACTTTACTAACCGAGCCATCTCCCCAGCTGAACAAATGCTTTAGATTTAAAACTAAGCTGCAATACCTAAGAGTAAGTGCTCACTATAAAGCACGTGGGGGTATGCAGCATACGGGACACATGGCCGTGCCTCGACAGCAAGCTCACAGGGTGATTCTGCCGAGGTAGTGGCCCACGTGAGGTGATATTTAGAATTAGATAGTAATGCTTTTCTAAACACAAGGTTATTGATTATTTTCCTGGAGTCTCCTTCTGTGGAAGTAATGTCACTACCGAGATATATCTTCTTTTCGGGCTGGCTTTGATTCAAGGTCATCCTCAAGTTCCGTTTCTATTTCAGCTTCAGCTCAAGTCCCCCAGGCTGTTCCCTCATTCTAAAACGGGGTTAGAGATGCCTGCTTGCCACCACCAGCAGACAGGAAACTAAACAAGTAACTGTCAGAACGGTGGCCTCTTTCCTCAAGATGTGATGTAAGGATATTGTGGCTTTTTTCCCTTTGTGATATGTTTATTTATTAAATGCAAAACACATATCTCCATAGTGAACTTTGTATCCAGTTATTTATTGATATTAAGCCAGAGGGAGACCTAGAGATTCAGGAACTCTTAGATCTACAGCTGTGTGGTCCTCCTGTCAAGGAAGACTTTGGTTTCCAGGAACCATGGGACAGGAATCCTGCTACCGAGTCACCAATTTGCTACTTTGCCAAAGTACTAAAAAAGAAAAAGAAAAAAAAAACCAGCTTTTTGAATGAAAGTTCTTTAATTCTTGGAGTCCAAGGTCCTGTTTATTACTGTTTAATATAGAAGTAAAAAGCCAGCAATATGAGAGTTCTTAGAAAGAAAAGGGTATTTAGGGTCACTGGCAGAAGAACTTTAAACTTTTGGGGTTTGGATGTTTATTGTCCCCAAAGCTGTGAAGCAATCAGAGCCTAGGCCACCTTAAAAGGTGCTGACAGCATCCTAAAATGCTAATCAATTTCGGTTGGTATTGTGAGTCAATCAGGGCTGATTAAACTTCTCCAATGGGATTTCACATGTGCCTGTCCCCAACAGCACTAATGGGACCTATACAGAACTTCCAATTAAGACACATAATATCCTAAGGAGTAAGGCATACAGAATTCCTGCGTGGCTGGGATCCAGAAGAGTGAGGGTTAGTCTAGAACCCACTCCTCTGTCATTCTTCACGCTGAGGTGTCTGTCCTTCCCAGCCTTTTCATTTTGTGGAATCAGGTAATTATCCACCCCCACCCCCTTCTCAGCCTCTGGAGCATCCTTGCTTCCCTTGTTCTGATGTCGTTTAGAACACAAACATTTCTTAGAGATGCGCTTATTGATTGTGCACAGTCTGTTGCAGTGGGAGAGTAGCACGGAAGAAAGAGGCCATGGTCCATCTCTGATGGAGAATGAAGGTCTTTGAGAACTCAGGTTCTCAGTGCTCACAATGAGGCAAGGAAAAGAACCAGTGTTCTCATCACAGGCCGGCTGGCCTTGGGATTGCAAACAGAAACCCACCTTACAGTACTGCTCTTACATACTGCTTCCTCAGTGCTGGAAGTCCTATTTGTCTGGGATGATGGTTTCCAGTGGTCAGGAACCAGGCTTTTGGACATTTAAGTGAAGAATATGAGCTATGATCCTGATTTTGTGTGTGTGTGTGTGTGTGTGTGTGTGTGTGTGTGTGTGTTCATGTCCCATTTACTTCTGGAGATTGAGGCGTCCCTAATCGAAACCTTGGCTATTTAGGAAATCAAGATTTCTCACCTGTCCGTCAAAGGAGCTGGAACCGGATGTTTCGGAGACTGAATTCAGTTCTGCCCTGGTCCCAGGGAGTTCTTTGGAGCAGACATGGAGGCTGGGTGATAACCAATCACCTGTGGCAGGTGGTTTGACTAAGCACTGCCTATAGGGTTGGTTATATAAGTGTACTTTTGCCTGAAATGGTCCCAGAAGCCAGAAGGGGGACCAACGTACCTGTGTTCTTCCTTTTGAGCACCGAATAGGCTCAAATCTCAGGGGAAAAAGGCCACTTTACTACCTTCAAAACCTTAGAGTTAAAAAAAAAATGTGGGAGGAAAATACTTGTAGTAGTTTTATTTTCCATTGTATTTGTTTACAGACGAGCACAGAGGAAAAGCACTCGTGGAGCCTAAGAGGTCATTACTTGCTAAGTGCTTTCCTTGAAACCAGCAAACGCAACTGAAATGGGCATTGCTGATGGCTTCATTAACTAGATGGGTTTCTAATATGTGCTAATTTGGAAGCTTTTCCCTGTTCATCCAATTACAGTTAGACTTGATATCTGAATTGTGCATGTAGTCTGCCCTGAAGGAGGATGTGTGTGTGTGTGTGTGTATCTGTGTGTGTGTGTGTGTGTGTGTTGTGCTCTCAAGTGTGTGTATGGTGCATGTGTGTGTGTGGTGTGCTTGGGAGTGTATGTTTGTGTCTGTGTGCCTAGAAGTCTTTCTGCTCTGAAGCTATACCTAACAGAACCAAACTTCCCAATTTTGGGGAGATCTATTCTGTCAGGCGACTTGAAAACAGGAAAAAAAATTACTGTGTTTGCCTTTTGCCTTTTATTTTTCATGAAGTTTGGGGGTGTGCTTATTTGTCCTGCTTTCAGAGGAATAGTTAGCCATGAACTCTGAAGAAATATTCTC